AAAGTGAACAGGAGCAAGGGCTGCCTGTAAGGTCTCAAGGGTTGCTCCCAGGGACTCACTTCTTCTGGAGCTGCTCTTTCTCCTAAAGGTTCCACAGATTCCCCAAACAACAACAATCTTAGCTTTCATGGAGTGAAAAAAAAAAAACAAGGCCATTCATTTGTCCAGTAAAGTGTATGCGAGAACACTACAGACACAGGAGTTCTCGAAACACTTGAGATCAAAATGATAGTCAGACACTTAGTCCTCTCACTCCTTTCTAAATTGTTGTTACAAAAAGATACTTTCCCTCTTCAAGATAGCTCATTTTCAGATTTCTCTTACCCTGAGAAAGTGTAGGAGGCAGGACCTTGGAAAACACTCCCTCTTCCCTGCTGTTTTCTCCCTTAGAATTACGTGTTATAAAAGATTACTCAGAAAGATGATCACCTGGATGTACTCTAGATTTAACTGGGCGCTGGATGGTGTTCATGAAGAGAAAACAAGCTGTGTGCCTTACAGAGATCACACTGGGCAATACAGTCAGAGCATTTTTAAAATCGTATAAGTGGCAGGCATGCAGAATGACAAAGGACCATGATGGGCAGTAGTGACTAAATCAGATTTCGGGGCCACATGGATTTTGAATTTTGGATTCCCACCCACTATGTTTCTAAAGAGATTTCCACTCCTCAGGGGAACTTACCCTGGAGAAAGCCATTTAGGCTAATCACATAATGCCGCCAAGTTTCAGGTTCGGAAACGTTGAAGTTGAAGTTAAGGCTATGAGCGAAGGGTCTGATCATAACTCCTGGCAATGAAAAGAGGTCTTGGATGTATTAACCCATTCTTAGACTTTTTTCTCTATAGATCCCCGTGACACCCCCCCTCCAGGCAATCAAAATGAAAAGGACCATAATTTGCCAAGTACCATTTCACTTTTCCTCTTAATAATTGAATCTCTAAGTCATTACCGGGAAGAAGCAAAGTTAATTGAGGCCGAACATGCTGTGCAAGCAGATTTCTGTCCAGAGAGTTCTGACAATGCAGGCCATTTGGGCACACTCACCGGGAGGTTTCACCTGCTCAGTGAAGGTTGGCATGTAGGGACTGATGACTAGGAACAGCATGTACAGGAACAGGGTGATCACAGCAGCCAGGGAGGCATAGAAGAAGAAGTAAATGACTAAAATCAGACCTGTAGAGCAATTGAAGATGACAGTAGTTAGAGCTCGCCAATAAGCCCCACCTTCCCACTGAACCCATGAACCACAATCAACTCGGGCAGATTCCGGGGAGCCTTTCTTCATGGACTTTGACAATCTGGAATTGGTGAACATGGACTGTATGGGGATCTGAATGTAGTTTTCCTTCCTTATCTCCCGTGGAAAGTCCTGCCGAGCACAAGATGACTACGAACAAGATTATAGGGAGTGGACTTCAACAGAGAGCAGAGGGGACATTGCTTGGTAGTCTTCTGGGCCTTGGCTGATGTCCTGAATACAGATCATTCTTTGCCTTTCATTATGGCAGGTGTCTTTGCTTCTTGGTTTAAGTGATTATAGGTGTTTGCAAGGGGTTGAAAAACAGCATTTCTTTTCATTTGACCTAGAATTCAAAGCGTTGACTCATTTCCACTGGACTTACTTCTAATCAAGGCTTATCCTTGACTACTTATTTAAAATCTTATTCATCCTTAGCAAAGTTTAAGTGGCTCTTCTTTTCAAAGAGAACATAATGAAGGATGGGGAGGACAGTAGGGGGAAATGGTACTGAATCATTGATACTTGCTGTATGTGAACTTGTAGAATCTACAGCATATATTTATCTGTCTTCCAGACAGTATCTGAAATTCAGACCTTTCATAATCTTATCCTGATTCTACCACTTCTGGCTGTTTAATCTTGGATATGATGTTTGACACTCTGGGCCTCAGTGTTCTCATCTGGTAAACAAGGACAGTAGCATAGTACTTGCTATATTAAATAAGCATTAAATAATGCATATCAACACCATGGCACATTGCCTGGCAGATCCTAAGTGCTCTATAAATGGCACCCATCATTATTGCTATTATTACTATTGTTATTATTGCTATAAGCTCGGATGCACAGTTGTATGAATTGCCCTTCTGTGGGTTGTATTAGGATTATGCTTCTCTCAGGACTGTGTAGCACAGGGTGAGGCAAATGAGCAAGAGATAGCAGCCCAGAGCTCTTTTCTATCCTTCCTTGGGGACCTCTCAGGCAAACATATTTGGCTCCACTCTAGAAGTGACATGATGCTGGAACTACAGATTTGAACTGAATCGTCAACCAGAAACTGGGATAAACCACACTACCTCACTGTACTCCAAAATGAGTTCAATTTTTTGTGAGACAGGGTTTCTCTGGGTAGCTTTGGAGCCTATCTTGGCACTCACTCTGGAGACCAGGCTGGCCTCGAACTCACAGAGATCCGCCTGCTTCTGCCTCCCGAGTGCTGGGATTAAAGGCGTGCGCCACCAACACCCGGTGAGTTCAAATTTTTTAATTGTATAATGAACCAAATAAAGTTGGGGGGCAGGGGAGAGAAAGAGAGAGACTGACTGTAGCTATCCAGCTAGAAATGGAGCTGGCCTTTTATGTTTGTGTAAGAGGAACTAAAGAGGAACTGTGACATGGACACATTGATTTAGCTGGAGTCCCCAGAGAAGAAACAACCATGTCTGTGTGCCTGTGGTTCTAGCATGTTGCTCACTAGTTATCCTAAAGCAGGGGTGTCCTCTGCATCTGCCTCCATTTCTCCACTCCATTCCCATCCTGGGAATAACTCCAGCCCGGAGCCATTCTAGGGGGCCAAGAGATCCATTTTCATGGGTGAAGAGGAATCAAGGGAATAAACACAGGTTTATTCCCAGGTTTATTCCCTTGGCGATATCTTCTTTCCCCCTCAAGATGTGTGGGCCAGAAAGCTATAGATTAAACAATGGCGTTAGTAATGAGTCCCCTTGGCCCTACATGGGGAGAGGTGACCTTGAGACTATGATAGTTTAGTTTTTCACCTCTCCTCAGGCAAAAGCAAGCATTGCACCATTTAAACTCATCAATCTCTCTAATCTTTCCTGCTCCGGATAGAGAGTTTTACCTGGGGGCCTCCTCCCC